CCTGAAAGTACAATAACAAGGAGAAGGAGAGAGAAAAGGTAGAAGAAGAAAGCAAACTTCTCCAAACCCATTCCCTCCTCAGGACCTTTGCAACTGCTCTTTCCTTGACTCAGAATGCTCATGTCACCAAATCTTGGCATAGCTGCCACTTTCTTACCTTTCACATCTCAATGCTAAGTTCACTTTCTCAGAGGCATTCCTAGTCCCCCTCTTTTTCCTCCCCGTGCCTCTACCCAAGTCCCTGTTCATCATGTCATGTAGTGTTACATTCTCTATAGTACTTACAATTCTCTAAATTTATTGTATCTTGTTTTTTTAATGTGGGCTCTAGAAGACCTCAAACCTTATCTGCTTTCACCATTATATCCTTCATGCCTAAAATACTGACTAGCATATAATAGATGCTCAATAGTGAATGAATGAAAAGATAATGGATCACTATAGACTGAACTATAGTTTTTAAAGTTATAAGTCTTTTGACAGATCTCAGAACTCCCTGATATAGTAAAGACATTTGGGAGGCCACCCACCAAAACCAGGGGCTACTCATAGATCAACTCAGAGGCCAGAAGGAGAATGGACAGAGCAGCTGAGACATGGAAACCTATTTAATGCACTGGTGAGAAAACCAGCCTGGGCTATCGCCACCGCACTAGCTGGCTCCAAAGCTTCTACAAATCATCTGAAATGCTAAATCATGTTTAAATCCCTCTGATTGTGACCACCGGGAACTATGAAGGACACTCACGCATAATTTACATACTGCCAAGCTCCTAAGAGCCTCTAAATAAAGCCCCTGAGGGCCCCCAGGCACTATTTTTGAGGAGAAGGACATCAAGTGACAGATTAAATCGAGTCTGAGCCCTCAATACTCGGGAAAAGAGAAACCTCACCTTCCACTCGCTGACATCTGCAAATGTTTTAAACTACGTTTGCTGTCAGATGCTTCCCAAGGAAGCCGTTATTACACTGAAAACAGCGCACATGTGCTATTGTATCTCCCATTTTACACAACTCACGGCTAACAGGTATTTTTTGCTCAGACTTTCATTCTTTTTCCAGATTCTAACCATAAAAAGCATTTTAATCTCAAAGCAAGACTAGGGGGGGTTCATAAGGGCACTTTGCATTCTGCCAGTAATTGTTAAATTACATTTGGTCACAACATGGTTATAATACCAATAATGAGTTGGGTGCAGCAGCCATTAAGGGGCTGCATCCAGACCCAGTTGACACACACCCAGGAGGGCAGGACAGGTTAGGAGAATTCACATTCCCAAGCATTAGATCAGGCTGCAGAATGCTCATTGCAATGACCATGATTAACTTTTATAATCTGACAAAAATGGGAAGCAAAAAGGCAGAAACATGAGGCCTAGGGGCCCAGAGAAAAACAGCACCTGTTTTATTGTTTTGTTTTGTTTTCTGTACAACTCAGAGGAGCCTACACAATCAAAAATCAAAACAAATACATAAGCCAAACAAAACAACAGGGTGAATATAGACAGGCTAGCAGCAAAGCACACTTGTATGTCCACCAGTGCTCAGGAACCTTCCTGAAGCATGAAGATGACCTGTCCCTAGCACAAGTGAGCACATGCACACGTGGGCTTGGATTCTTGAACAACCTGCCCTAGCTTCGATTTTCTGTATTAGTTGGGATTTCTTATTAGAATGTTAGAAATTCCCTGAGATCAAACACTGTTTTTACTCTGGCGCCTATACTGTTCCACTCTTAACCCAACACAGACCCAAGCAATAACACACTCCCAGGATATAATCTAATTAATTGCCTGTATGCAAGGAAAGGACTAACAGCATTTGTTTTACAGTTGTATCCCCTATGCCTAGCATGTTACTCCGTAAAGAGAATGGATGGATGGATGGATGAATGGAAGATGATATTTTAAACATATTATATCATCTGATCCTTATAACAACCCTGTGAGATAATAATAGTTAACACTTACGTTGTGCTAATTATATGCCAGCCACTATTCTAAATTCTTCATACATATTAACTATTTCAACCCTCAAGAGCTCTATGAAATAAGGAGCATTATTATCTCTATTTAACAGAAGAAGAAAGTATTGGTGGTATATGGAGGTCACACTGGTAGGAAGAGGCAGAGCTGAGTCCTTGCTGGATGTTCTCCATTAGCTACATTTTATGAAGCAGGAAACAGAGGGTAGCAATATTAATTTGATGTAGCTATCCCCTAATGCTCATTGCAATGACCATGATTAACTTTTATAATCTGGCAAAAATGGAAAGCAAAAAGGGTGTACACCTAGGACTGTGTTCCCAGAAGACTGTTAAATGAACCCCAACAGCCTGACTCCGACAGCCAAGTAGGACATGTGAATAAGGCTGACCCATAGTAAATATCTGCAATCAATAGAAGACAGATTGTTGAGGCGGGGCTGAGATAAGAGGTCAGTTTTCTCAGCATTATTCTCCCAAAGGTGAGGTGCTACAGGGTCCAGGAAAGAAAGAGAAAATCAAAACAAACCTGGAAAATGGGGACTCCACCCCAATTCTCTTGGAGTTATTTTGTTTGGGTTGGAAAAAGAGAAATTCACTGACACCTTCCTATTTTCAGCCTCCAGGAAAAGGCCACAGCAAGTCCTGAGCCAGGTTCTAAGCATGGAAATACCCATTTCTGCATGAGCAAGGCTTCTCAGGCATTGGGTTTTACTACAAAATATGTCAAAGAGACTGGACAGGTGGGGACAGGGGACCCAGGATGAAAGAGTAGAGGGCAAGACAGAATGACAATCATAAATGGGAAAAAGAAGAAAAAGTTGGAGCTAGTTCCTGACATTAGTGTGTAAGTGTTGACAGTTTCAGGATTATGACTTAAGAGATAATTGTTTCTACTTGGAAAAGGCACCAGAAAGCACAGAGATACAGGTATGGAACTGGAAAATGTTAGTATCTTAAGTTTAAAACTTCACATTAAACTGGATATTAAGTTGCAACCAAGTTGTTACTATGGCTGGAGAGATGAGGTTGAAAATTGAGAATAAGAAATTATAATGGGAAAATCAAGAACATTTTGTTGGGCTGGAAAAGGGGAAAGGAGAAAAGATAGATGGGTTACCCATGACTCCCCCATCTTTTTTTTTCTTTTTTTTTTCCTCATCACACATACAGAGCTGTGAAGGACACTGGTTCAAACTGCACAGGATTAATGAACTCAAGTTTGCTGTGGGGACAGGAGAAAGCTACAGCTCTGACTCAAACTGCAGCCCTGTGAAGAAATGGCTCTCTCCCTCAGAAAGATTTCTCAGTAGAGAAACCCAGAGAAATATTCCCTATGAAAGTCATAGTTCAGCTGAGACTTGTGTGATTTGTAAATTACTGATTGTGCGCATGACAGGTGGGCCTTGCTCACAGGCAAACAAGAGCCAGGCCCAGAGGATGGTTCTGAAACCAGACTGGGCCATTTGATTTCTACCAAACAGAAATTAAAAATGTGCTTTCCTCCATGAACACTGACCAGAGAGAAGCCATTCCTGGGCAAGTTCTCACTGCACACAAGCTTTTCATAAAACCAAGATGCACATTTCTGAAAAATGTTGCAAGGTTATCTAAAAAGGGATGTTTTGCTGGAGAGAATAGCAGAGTATAATTCTTTAAGTATGTTAAAAGAGATTTGCTAAATTAGTTTATCTAGGAGTACTATTGGGAGGTCATTTGAGAGGATCTCCTATATGAATGAAAAGTAGTTTTCACCCATCACATCCCCAAATGCACACATAGTCCAAGGTTCCACTGATCACATACCTTTTCCCAAGATGACATATAAGAACTAATCGCTACTCATTGGATTCAAAAGTCCTACTTCCTGAGCTTGAAGACAGGAATCTAGGAGCTCTTCTGGGCTTTCTGAACATCCTTCTCCTAGTTTCCAGAAATAAGCCACCCCCCATGGAGTGGTGATAATTTTTTTTCTCGCTCAGAAAATCGCAAAGGTATTTAACGGAAAGGAAGCAAAGGTTTTCTTTTTATAAATTCGATTAGTCTTTTCTACTTTCTCTACCTCGATACATTTCCTTTAGGAGGAATTTTATACCCAGAGACCTTTTAGCAAGGCACTGTTGTATGTGAGGCACAATGAATTAAAGTGCAAGATGCTTAGTGTGGAGGGCAAGTAAATATCGCAGGCACTTGCAGTCGCTAGTGAAGTCAGTTTCTAAATGCTGGCGCGGGGATGGCCCTGCAAGAGAAGAAAGACGAAGTTCGCCACAGGCAGCCGGTGGGGAACCTTTGGCTGGGATGCGTGCGGGTGGTTACCAAGCCCGTCCTCCGTTAGCCACGGCAGAATTTCCCGCCGGAGCCGGCGCCGGGGAGCCTGGTCCTAGCACTGCACCCGGCGCCGGTCTGGAGATAGCCTTGGCTGTGAGCGGCGGGAGTCCCCTAAAAAGTGCACCTTTTCGCCGCCGGGACTTAGCTTATGGGAGAGAGCGGCTGAGAGATCATAGAGTCAACTCCTCCGGGACTGGGGGTACTACCACAGCCTGTTGCCCCAGGTCTCAGGTTCGAAGCCTCTGCAGTGACCGAGGAGAGGTTAGGACTTAAGCGACAGCAGTTCCGTTAAGAAAGGAGTTTCTGAAACTCCTGGGAAGCAAAGTCCCGGGGCTTGGAAAGTAAACGAGCCTACAGTGGAGCTTTCCAGATTTGGTCTTTGCTTTCTGTCATTTTTGCTGCCCTCTCTCCCACCACTCTAGCGTCAAGTCTAGAAAAGAGTACTAAGGGCTAGGGTACTAGCCATGTCAATCCTTCCTCCCCATCCCGCCCCACCAAACTTTCAGGCAAGAAAAATACCAATAAACCTCAGGAGTGGTTTCAGGCGCCCCCATCCCAACACCTACGCCGCCACCACCACCACCACCACCATACCGTCCCTCCCACCTCCGGGTAGGGGAGGGACTGGGAACCTGATCTCCGGCCTCCTGCCCGAACGTTTACCCATCAATAATTTTGATACCATCGATGTGCCTCCACCCCCGCCCCCGGGGCGCCGCTGCAGCCTTTTCGCTGCTTTTTACTTGGCATAAGAAAACGAAACCTCCTCTACTACCCTTCTAGCCTCGGCCAGGGGCCAGCGCGGCCGGGGGGTCGCGGGCTGTGGAAGCAAGGGCGTGGGCAGGGCGCGTGGGGGTGTCCTTCACTTCCAGTGTGTCCAAGCGCCGGCGGAAAGAGGAGGGTCCCGGGCCCAGGCCAGGCCTCATTTCAGGCTCCATCCCAAACCCGGGCTCAGGCTGGGCCAGAGTAAGGTATTTGTGTGAATACAAGAACCAGGCCTCGCAAAAAGGAAGCTTAACATCTCTCCCCATTCCCAGGATCGGGGATGCAGCGAAGAAGCTTGGACACACCTCTCCCGCCCCCTTCGCTGGGAACTCTGTTGTGGCCCGCGGCCTTGGGGAACAGCCTTTTGGCCACGCCAACCCATCGAGGACGCTCTAGGTCTTGAGAAAAGTAGGAAACATGTTGGTAGAAACACAGGCATCAAGCTTCCAAAATGTGAGTTTGCCCAACTCGATAGGAGTCTCCCCGGGTGCTATTGTCTGCCCACGAGGTCACGACCCTGGCGCAACCGCTGCCTCACTTCAGGCCACCCCCATTTTCTAGCGTGGATCATCCCCTAAGTGTCAGGCCCGTTGGTCGGAACCCCAAGTCCGAGTCCGGTCAGCCCCATTCCCCCAGCAGCTGCCCCACCAAAGGCTGGGTCGGCGCGACCCCCTGTAGAGCACGCTGGTCTCTCGGGTGAGCGAAGCGTGGGATATACTCGCTCTCGCTGCCTTCTCTCAACCCGCTCAAAAGTAAAAATCAATCTCCACTGTGTCTTGGGTTTTATTAATTTATTTCTTTGCCTCGCGGCACGCGAAGCCTCACCCGCGCCCTGACATTGCTACGCCCGCGTCAGCGAACCACGGAACTTGGGCCCTAGACAATGGCCCGTAATTGATGTATTGCCATCAACAATAAAAACCAATTCTCCTCTCCTCGCCATTCTGACCATCCCCCTCCTCCCCTCCCCCTCCCCAACCTCCCCTCTCCTCTCTCCCGGCCAAAGAGGGAAAGAAAACAAACAAGAAATTAGCGGGGGACGCTGCGCACAGAGCGAGACGCCCGCCTCTACTCCGTCGAGGAAGCAAAAGAACGAAAAAAGTTATTAAAGTTTGGATCCCCCCAATTAATTCGTCTCTGCTCGCCCATTTTTAATTAAACATCGCGAAGCTGCTTTTGCGTGTGCTTTTCGTTTGGTTGTTTGTTTTGGTGTTTCGAGGGGAGGGAAAGCTATTTTTTTTCCTCCCTTAATTTTAATAACACATAGAACAAGTAACGAACACGTGTAAAGCTATTCCCGGGAGCTTCCAGCAGCGCGATCGGCGCGTCCGGGATAAGGTTTGCGGGGTAGCCAGCTCGGCTCAGTTACTGGCAGCACGCCTCGCCCCGGAGGCCCGGACTTGCAAGAAGCCAGGAGACGTATGCTGGCAGCTCCAAACGCGGGCATATTCGGAGAAACCAGTGTGCAAGTGCATACGGACGCGTTCGTGTACCCGGGAGAGTGCGGGGTGGTGTTTGCGAGGACCACAGTTGGCGGGGCCGGGGTCGAGTGCGGAATTCACACGTGCTCCCGAACACTTTCCCGGGGGTCTGGGGGAAGTGAGCGGCTCACACCCCAGGAGCACGCAGATCCATCTTTGCCCAGGAATCTCTTTAAATATTCAGTGAGAAATAATGGCATCTGAAGCACTACCTATAGAAACATTATTATCTTCATTCTTCAACATCAGCCCCACTGATAGCTTCGTTTGTCTTTTTATCAAAATCTACAGTAACCAACGGGACCTGGGGAAAAAGAGGCGGAGAAGAGGGTATGCGTGCGTGCGTGTGTGTGTGTGTGTGTGTGTGTTTTAGGGACCTAGCGAGGGCAGAGGAGAAACGGTGAGAAGAAAAGGTGAAAAAAGGGCGAACACGGAGAAAGAAGTTATAACAAGAAAGAAAGAAAGTCGGCAGGAGAAAAACATTTACCGCATACAAAAGATTTAGATTAAAAAATAAAAATAAAAAAGACCAAAGAAGCTAAAAGAAAAGGATTCATTTGGGGAGCACAGTAAGGGCCCGGTATATTGGTGCCCGAAACTCTACTCGGAATATTGGTGCCCACTTCGCGCGAATTGATGGTGGTGCGATCCAGACACAGGGCGCTCCCGAATTGGGGCGTCCTTACGAGACCTCTTTCCCGATGGCGAGATAAGGCAGGGATTGTGTATCTGCCCTCCCCACCCCCATTATTCAACCGAAGTTGTTTGTTCTTCGGGCGCAGGACTTCGGGAACCTTGGAGAGAGGAGACCCCGAGGCTCGAGTGGGAAGACCTAGGCTGGGCCGAGGACTTAGCCTCAGGTTCGCGGGCGCCCGAGCTCAGTGGAGGGAGTGCGAGACCCGGGTTCACGATTCCGGGTTCTTGGGCGCGGGTAGGGAAGCTGTATCCCAGCCTGGGGGGATGGAGCTACTGTTCAAAGTTTGGGTGCCGCGCTCGCCAAGTGCCCGAGAGGTGACGGCGAGCTTCTGCCGGGTCAGACAGCTGTGCACAGAGACACCCCCGCCCAACCCAACACCCAACCCCGCCTCACTCACTCCAGGCTCAGCGCGGCCACCTTGTTGCCAGGAGCCTGGGGTGCGACCCCCTCCCCCAGGGAGGGGAGCCCAAGGGTCCTGGGCACTGGCCTTGCGCTGGGCCCGCCAGGCTGGGCCGCGCTTCCCGAGGCCAGAGGCGGGTTGCAGCGCGCAGGGTAAGCAGCGGCCCCTCCCCTCCCCCCGGCTGGAGCTGAACTCGGAACCCAGGCCGGTCCTCACCCTCGCCCGCCCCGGGCTCTGCGGCGCCACCGCCGCCGCCGCCTCCCCGCGGAGTGACGCGCCCTGCAGCCAACCCGGGCAGCCGGGGGGGAGGTCCGGGAGGGGTCCTGGGCGGAGCCGGGCCGCCCCTTATCCCACGGGCTCGGGGCTGCTTCTCCCGAAAACTTCAGCCCTAATTGTCCTGGGAATGTCCAAGGTAGAGAAAGGGAGCAGGGAGCAAGCGAGAGGCTGGAGGATCGGGGCCCTCTGAGGAGGAACCGGGTGGCGGAAGAGTTGCTCCTCCCCCCCCAAAAGCCCCAAACTTATCATGTTCCCAAACCTTTCCTCGATCCTCTTCTCCGCGCCCCCGCGAGCCCGGGATCCAGGGGATGGAGAACTCGGGGCGAAGGACAGCCGAGCCAGGCGGCGAGCGGGAGGGAGGCCGGGCCGCAGGCGGGAGGCGGACCGGCGTGGGGCTGGCTCTTCCCCACTCGTTTACTTTTTTTTTTTATGGGGGTGGGGGTGGGCTGCTTTCTGGTAGCTCTTAAAGAAACGAAGAAACACTCATGAATCGGGACTCCCTCCCCCCGCGGGCCGGCGCGCCTAGCGCCGGAGTTGGGAAGTTTGCCTCGCGCCGGCGGCCCGGGTCTCCAGCCCCCCGGCGGCCGGCCCCACTCCCCCCACACGGGGAGGCTTCATTCCGGGGAGGGCATGCTAATTTGGTTCAGCCCAGCCCGGGATGGGGGGGAGGCGGAGAACGGGGGTGCGCAGACCGGGCCGAAGAGGCAGGCCCCCGTCGGCCGGGCCGCGGAGTCCCGGGCGGTCGCGAAGAGGGTTAACCCAGTGTCGGGCGGCGCGGCGCGCAGAGCCAGCCCCGCGGCCGGCTTATTGGGCCAGCGCGCGGAGAGACAGGGGTCTGCAGCAAATCACGAACTAATTGATTAAGGCGAGCGGGTTTGAATAGCGCTGGCCCGGTGCCAATCGCCTTTCAAAGAGCCCCTCTATGATTAATCGCAATGCATTATTGATAATCATAATTATAGCAGGACACATGCGCGCTGCGCCCGGGGCCGGGGAGCCGGGGAGGGGGCGGGCGGGCCGGCGGGCGGGGGGAGCCGCCGCCGCCGCCGCCGCTCGATTTCCGTAATTTTGAGAAGATTTTTTTTAGTAATTTTTTATTCTGCCCCAGCTGATGTTTGAGCCAGCATGTCGCGGAGGAAGCAAGCGAAGCCTCAACATTTCCAGTCCGACCCCGAAGTGGCCTCGCTCCCCCGGCGAGATGGTGAGTGCTCCGGCCCGCGCCGCGGACACACACGCACACACACGCACTCGCACTCACACTCACGCACACCCGGACCCACGCACACGCGGCTGGCCCCCGCGCCCACCTCCCCTCCACCGCCGCCGCGTCTCTGCTCGCCTTTTTGGCTCGGCGTGTTTTTCCTTTTCCTTTTTCTTTTTCTTTTTAAATTTCAATTTACCTTTGCTGGGTTTTCCCCTGGCCCGAGGAAAGGAAACACTTCTCCCGGCAGGATCTTTCCGGAGTCGTTGGGACCTCCAGGGGGAGGAGAGAGGGCATGCCGGCCTTGCTCCTGCGCCCTGCTTTTCCGGGGAGCGGAGCCCGGGACCCGCCGAGTCGGGGCAGGGGCCCGGGTGTGCGGCGGGGTGCGGGTGTGGGCAGAGGCCGTCCGCGCCCGCCGGAGCGGGGTTCCTCGCGCTTCCCGCCCGGCACCCGGGGCCCCGGGCCGGCCTCTGCCGCCCAGGCCCTGCTGCTGGCTGCGGGAAGGAAGTTTACTTGGCGCTCCGGGCTGAACTCCGAGCGTGGGGGAGCTGCCTGTGCCGCTCCGTCCCCATGATTGCGCTCCACCTGGGCCAGCGCCGCGGGATGGTGTGCCTTTGGGGGTTCAGAGCTGCAAGAAGGTGGGGACCTGTGTCGGGACGCCGGCGCCTGGCACGCTGTGGTCGTGGCCGGGGTGGGGACTACTCTTGGCGGCTGGTTGCCCCCGAGACAGTGCGGGCGGGCCGGGTCTGGCTACCCAAGTTTATCCCCGCACCTTTTCTCCCAACACAGGCAGTCACTCCCTGTCCCCAGAAACCTCTAGATTCGGTATGCGCCACCGAGAATCGCGGTACCCCGTACGAGTCATAAGGGTCGTTTAACAGGGGGGCTATCAGCCAGAGGAGAACACCCCTGAAGCAGAGGGACTCGCTTTCTCCGATGGAGGCGACAACTGCGGGGTCGCGAAGCAGAGTCGCGAAGGGAATGAGCAAGTCCAGAACAAAGTTTGTGTGAGGGAGCGAAGGCCGAGAGCGCGAGAGATCCTGGCAGGGAATTTGGGCTACGGAGAAGAGGACACCTCGAATCCCTCCCTATCCTTGAAGGTGTTTCACTTTAGGGGCCTCCGAGCTCCCTTGGCCGGTCGCCGGGGGCGATGGAGCGGCGCCCGGGCTAGGGTCCCCGGCACGATGCTCGTTTCTCGGCTGCGGAGGGTGAGGGGCAACTCTGGCGGGGGTTCCGGGCGCCTTTGGGGATGCTCATGTCCCGGGCAGCATTTTGGGGTGTGGGGGAAGGAGCTGGATCCCGACAGCGCTCAGTAGCCTGCCCTTAGATCGGCACCTCTGACCACTCAACTCTGTGGCCGCCCGGGCCCATGGTCCCCGGCTCCTTCCCCCGAGGCCTGCTTCTCGGTAGGACTGGGGCGCGGGGACGCGCAGAACTCAAGCAGAGAAGCGAAGGCACTCCCACTGCCTTCACCCGGCTTTTGGGAAAGGGGACGCCTGACGAAGGGGGATGGGGGAGACCTGTTAAGAACTGGGGAGAACTGAGACCGATGAAGAAAATTGTTTACAAAATGCGTCCCCACCCCGTACTTTATCAAGCTTGAAGCCTTACCCAGAGCCTCTGCGATTTCTCAGTCCGCTGAGAAGAGCCCCTGAACCCCGATTTCCGTCCACAAGCGAAACCGGGGACGCGAGGTAAACCGAGGTGAAATTACTAAGGCCGCTGCAACAACGCCGAATATTTTTCCGGGTTTTCTCAGCTGGTTTCTTCTGCTTCTCGCCCCCCCACCCATCTTTGCTAAAGTTTCTGATGAGACCTTATGCACCGTAATACTGTTAAAGTGAATAGTTTGCATAGAAAGAAGCAAACGGGAGGAGAAGAATGTTTTTTATATTTTATTTTTTGTAAATTTGTACTGATTTTATACATTTTAAAAAAAAAAAGAAAAAGGCCTTGGACTTCGCAGAGAAATGATCCTTGCTAGATCTTGGCCTTTCTCCTGTCCTACTGAATCTGGAATTTTTAATAGTTAAAGCTTCTCATAAAGCTATAGCATAAAAGGCGTTCACTACCTTTTACCATTATTATTTATTAGGACTTTTTAAAAAAGTTTATTTGTGCTTTGAGGTAAGTTAATTAAGTAACTGAATCAAGTTTCCTTTCTCTTCTCTCTTCCTTCCTTCCTTCCTTCCTTCCTTCTTTCTTTTTATCCCCCAAAGCTGGTTCATTGTCCTAAGAAGCAGTAAACTGTTAGGGGCACCGTAGGAAACAGCCCTCCCAGTCTCCTTTCTCACCTCTCCCCACCCCCTCTTTTCTTTGGTAATAGTAGTAATGGTTTTAGGTTATGACTGTTCTTACATGGCTGAACAATAAGTTTGGGAGAAGCTGCCCAGAGGGTAGATTTTGTAAGGTTACAGGATTTAGAATGTTGTAATAATATTAGTACACAAGTAATCCTCCTCAACGCCAGACTTACAGGAGGGCCTTACATACTCCAGTTACTTTTATTTGGGAATAGTTGGAGGTAATGGCACCGAGTACATGACATATCTCTAAGTTACCTTTAAAAAGTCACTACTTTTCTCTGCAGTGAATTCAGCAACTCCCTCTTCTCTCCATTTCAAGGAGTCGCTGGGTTTGGAGGGGGGTTGTTTTTTGTTTTTTTTTAACACCTATTAATATTAAAGGTTACTTTTTTAGAAGATAAACCCTTACTCAAACAATATGGTTACTTTTAAAGTAACCATCTTGAAATGGTCTTAAAATACGAAAACGAAATACTGAACATACTGAATTAAATCTAGTTGTGCTCTCATCTGCTAGAAATTTTATGACTTCTGCCCAGAGTGGGACCTAGAAAAGTTCGTAGAGCCCAGTTCCAGTAGCCCAGAAGGACAACTCTCAAGGCTGAAGGCAGCCAGGGCTGCTGTGCTGTGTGTCATGCATGTGTGTGAGTGTGTGTGTATGTGTGTGTGTGCATACAAAGAAACCCGGAACCATACTCAACAGCCACACCAATAACTTAATTGGAACAAGTTCAAGGAAACAGGATTACTTGGTCCATCTTACAATATTCATATTTTAATTTTACTTTGGTACAGCTGGAATACCAGAAACACCCTAGAATAAACTTGGGGATTTTTCTGTTTCTCATGAAACCACGGTTATGGCACATATTACTTGTCTCTTAAATGCTATTTAATAAGTCTTGAGTTATCTGTAGGAAGGTGATTGCCATTGGAGAAATTACTTACCAAGATAAATAATTCTGAGGAAAGGAAATATTAGAATCTAATGATTTTATGTGTAGGTTTTTACAAATTGGATTTGAGGGATGTGTGTGTATGTGTTAGGTTTTTCTTTGGATGGTGTTTTTAAGATTGCTGTAACTATATGGATGGCCCTTCAGACTCCATTTGCTAAGAAAGTATTTTGGCACTCACCTTTGTCGAGGAAAAGATAATATTGGAAGAAAGATAAAAATATCTTGAACTGCAGATAAAACATTGACTGTCATATAAAGTACCATAAAATTTCCTGTTATTTATATTAATAATGAAATTCTATTAGTTACCAAAGTAATTTACTCATTGTGAGCAGCTTAATGGCAACACATTGATTTCTGGGCCCAAAAGGTTAGAGAGAACTATAATTAATTGCTTTTTTTGAAAAACGGACACCTGCAAGATAAGGCAGTTGGAAAGAATTCATGTTTAATCAGGCCTGTTTTAAGTTTGTGGCATAGTGGAAGATTCTGGATGAGAAAATGCAAACTCTTTTTTGGGATTCACTTTGGGCTGCATATACTTCTTAAAATGTTAAAAACAAACACATATACACAAGCAAAGTGTAACTAAGCATGAGAGAGCATGTGTGAAAGTGAATTTGAAATACTGAATGTTTCGTGGTTTATTTTCCATTCAGTTTATCTTAAGAGCTGCTAGGTACCAGTGCCAATGTATAGGTTATTCTCTGAGGATTTTATTTCCTTTTTTTATACATGTGCAGATAGCAAGTTGTCTTTGCCAACACACAATCCTTTGGAAGGCAGAAAGCCACGTTTGAAATGTGGAGATCTTATTGTGAACCCAAGGACAAAATAGGTAGACTAGTAGTTCCTTAAGTTTTTTGAAATTGTTGAAAGCCAAGTTCTACATAGTAACCAGAATAGATTCCTTCTGCCGTCCTGGTTTGGATTTTCTAAGACATATCCTGGTGCAGCAGCTAGCCGTATCTTCCAAAATATTCTTAGATTACCAAAACAAGTAATTCAGCAGTTTAGCGGAGATGGTAAATTATCCTAAGAACCAACACCCCTCCCCCCAAAAGGAAAAAGCATGTGCCAGGCTTTAGAAAAGCTAGATGTGCCGAGCTGTTTTAACCTTTGCTAGCCTCCTCCCCTGCAGAGGTGACAAGGTCCAGATCATAATATGTCCTTCAGTATCTTCCCAGTGACCCCAAAATTAAGTCTTGCTAGTCACTTAGCAGGAAGTTAGTAGTTTATTTTAGTTTCACCTTATCAGCCTGGCTTCTTTTCCTAACCTTATTCCCCTGTCACCCTCAGATGCCAGACCCCCAAAGGGGAAGATTGACAGGTAGTTCCCATAGCTCAGTTTTACCCTCAAACAACAGGGATTTAGTTTCTTGTGCCTTTGCCAATGTTTATGTAGTCAAAGTTTAGATCTAGCCTTAAGGAGTCTCTCTTTTACGCGTCACTGGAATAGGAAAGCCACAAAGAAGTTTTTGAAACCCTTGCAACTGGAACCCCATCTAGTGTTCAGTTTGATTCATCCAAGGGGAAGACATTTTCCCCCTTTCATTTACTATGTGCATTAGGTGGGCTTGGGTCACTATTTTAAGGGAGTGTCTTGTCTGTGGTAGGTTTTTTTTTTCCCCTCAGAGATTTTACTTGTGTTCTGTTCAAGAGTATACTAATCCTGGTCTAAACACTGAGGAAACTTGAAGGGTACCAGTAAATTTGTCATTTGGTTGCATATCACATAGAGGAAACTTAAGACATTACAGAAAATATGCACAGCATATGTTGTAGTGTTTAAGATTTCCTAGGAATCTTAAGCTGGACGTTCAGATTCAGGCTTTTCCCAGGTCTGTGCAAAAAAAAGATAAAAGACCCATCGATCAAAAATATTTGTGATAGCCTTCAAAATTGGTCTACAAAAAGGAACAGCCTGTTAAAATGATAGGCTCCAAAATCGCAGTCATGAGAGGTTCTACTAAAAATGTTAATGCGATCTTAAGGTAATGGGTAGTGAAGTGAGGCTCCTTCTCAGGAGCTCCAAAAAAGGGAAACTAAATGTGGTAGAGTAGGGTTGTTGTTTTGTTTTGTTTTGTTTTTTTTCTTGGCTGGCTAAACCTTTCTGTGTGGGGCATAGTGTTATTTTTGTTTTCTCAGTAGACAGATACAGTGGAACACTTCAATTTTCTGCCTCCTATTCTGCAATGTTTGGTTCAGAGGATGAAAAACTGACAAACTTGAATTGGCTTCAAGTACCTAAGTAGTACAAGAACTAAAACATCTGGAATTTTAGTATAAATTGGATAGAGCTGTAAAATGACCCCTCCCTCTCCAAAAAAATAAAAATAAAACACCCAAAAAACAAAAAAACAGAAATTTCCGACTATCTTTTTGGGTGTACATACTTAGAAAACCACTACTTACATTTTCCTGTGTAACCAGGATGACAGAATTACTTTAATTTCTATATAAAATCTGTAGAAAAGGAACTAGAATATTATTTTCACAAGAGTGCAGGGAATAAGGCAACTGTATTTACTACAATGAGGTCACCAGTTGCAGTGCAATACTGTGTAACAGATTATTGAGAGAGATACAAGGTAGCAGACCATCAGAAAATGAATTTGAACAAGTTAGTTTGTATGTGTGTATCTTATTACAACTTAAAAGATTCCCATGGGGTATAGTTAGGGATTCAAACTAGTCCTCATGTTTTGTCTTTTTTTTTTTTTTTAAGCGGCTTCATTGGAATTCTGTTCAGAATGCAGATAGAGTTAAAGTTAAGAACTATTACAGTGTAGCGACACCTGCTTTTGAAATAAATCAAAATAGGTACCAGGAATTTTTTTTTCTGGTGTTCATAAACATCAGAAAATTAAATTAGTGAAATCAAATGTCAGTTTATGAAAATGGTATGAAAATCTAAGCTAAAATATGGGCAGCTTTTTAGCACAGTGTCTTTCTTAGAAGCAAGGAGGCGTTTATTTTTAAGCATCTATATTTTCCTACCAGTTAGCACACGCCTAAATATAAAAAGGTTCAGGTTGAAAAGCTTGAAAATTCTCAAGTGAGTCTTGAAGCAGCACAAATGTAGAAATCGAGAACAGGAAAGCAATAATCAGCTAAAATCCTGTAAAGTAACCTTTTTATTTTCTCTATATATTATGAGAATATCAGATGTTTGCAAGTTATAAAGAATTAAAATGCCCTTTTAATCGTGATCACAGATGTGCTAAATATTTGAAGCAACTACATTGTAATGTGTACAATTGATGAAGTCAGTTTTCTGATTTCCCTTGCTAGTTATTTAGTTCTGAATCTGTCATTATTTGTCTAAGCCCAGCTGACCAAGCAAAACTGTGTTTTAAAGTGGCTTTATGTTTTGATAAATGTGAGCTGGTTGAAAAGTATTTTCCACTGAATGCAGAGCTTAATAGAACATGCTGACATAATAGTTTTAATGCATTTTGTTGAAAATGTGTGAACAAACAGAATAGCTTTTGTTCCTTCATAATTGGCTGTAAAAGTAGATGGAAACATAACCATTACATATGGAAATGTGCAAAGAGAAAGAAATAACATTTCTGTTGAATATATTAGGAATTGCATTTCCTAGTTTAAAATAAGCATCTGAAATGGATGCATCATTTAAAATTGGTTGTCAAAATAAGAAGCTTTAAACAGAATTTTTGTCACATTATTTTTGTCCCAAGTTAAGCAACGTAACTTTAGTGAATTTCATTTAATATTTTGTTTATATCATTTTAAGGCAGGGAGAAAGACAGAAAGTGCTTAAAACAGCACCTTGAATGTGCATAGGAATCCGGTGCCAATTAGGGTGATTAAACATTAAAACGAATCATTATTGGTATTTTCTACGACAAATACTTGTTTAGTACTGTTAATGCATTTTGTGGAGATACTGTATGCTTGTGGAGATTAAAAGATGGGTATTAGGAAAGCTAGCTTGTTAAGTGTAACTTAAGTACTCAAATTTTAACACTTCCAGTAAATAAAGTGTGCACACATTTGGCATACTTTGCCAGGGCTTCTCAACTTCGGCATCACTCCAGGTAGATAGAGTTAAAGAATTCTCAGAAGTTAGTGTTTAGGTATTAATTATATTTTCTGGAATGCAAAACTACTCAGGCTTTATTTGATGTTTACTCCAAAAAGGCAAAGGGTTGGCTCTTTTGAGTTGACTTAAAGTTTACGAAAAGCAGCATTTTAAGTTTGCATTTATTCATATTTGTAATTACTTTTTTTCCCCTGCAAGTTTTCTGGGAGATTCAATTTGGAAGTCATGGAAACTAACTATTATCTGATTCAGTTCTGCAGAAAAGCATGCAGGGAGGTAATCCTTGAATTAAACAGTTTTTTTTTTTTTTTCACAGCCTTCGGAGATGACCACACACCATTTGTACAACAGAAGTTGGTGTTCCCCATGCTGGGCAAACAATGGGACGCCATCCTGTCTTTGAATAGGATGTTAGCTTGGAGTTGGAGATTTTTATGTTTAATTTACAAATGGATCTTAGTGAGAAGAAATCTGAGCAACCAGTGGAAACAAACATGAAATAAAAGGATTTTTATAATGAAAGGTTCAGGACAATCTGTTAAACAATTGATAACAGTTAAGAGCAAACTGTTTTTAAAGGCATTCGAACCAGGAGAATTGCACAACATTTCCAAACTGTAAACCAAGAATTATTTCTTCACTACCCTTTAACTGTACATCCTTTTTTAAGTTGATGTTTAATCAGAAATGTGAATCTTGTGCCTGTTTTTATAGATATGAAGAACATTTTTGATGAGATATTTAGAGACATAATGTTGTCATTTGGAGCATTGTGGCATATATTCTGTGAGTAGTGGGTGGGTAGCCAGGGCTGCATTCTTTAATTTGAAAAATAAATATGCCATGGGGTGATAAACAGGTGCCGGGCAGGCCTTGTAACAGACTATGATCATTGTGTTTCTGTCCTTGGTGTGTATGTGTTTTCTCTTTTGTATTCAACTGAGTCCTGAGGAGCTGTCTGGAGGATTTGTTACTATGTGACTAAAGTGTGTAAGTCAGGGATCAGACTTAGCTCAGGTTCTAGGTAGGGGCTGGAGGTGATTTTCAAGTTGTCAGTCTTCAGCTTGGTGATTTTTTTTTTTCCTCCTTTGTCAACAACTGATTGGAACCTGAATAACTACAAATTAGTTTAGTGACAGAAGAAACTGTCACAGATATCTTTGAATCAGTTGAAAATGAATAAGGTTGACAGGAACTCAGGAGCCTAATAAGTCTCAGAATGGTTGCTGGGCCCTCTCTGGATGAGTAGACAATAAGATGCATAAAATATTGGAAATCAATATTTTGCTATGAAATTTCATTATGCACCGATGTCTTCAGTTCATAGTATTTTATATTTTGATGGATTATCTGAAGGCCATGGCTCCTGGAGATACCAGATTGATAGGAATTCTTCCACTTCCTTAAAATTTAATAATGAGCATTCCTAGGTGATATTGACTGGTTTGCTGGGGGGATAGTTTTGAGTTTTGCAGGTAGAAAACAATTGATCAACCTCTTTATGTTTCTTTTTAAGTCCTAGGTGACTCTGTGTGGCCTGGCTCCTGTCTAACCCTGCGCCTTTTGATGTTTGCAGGAGACACAGAGAAGGGTCAGCCAACTCGCACCACTAAGAGCAAGGATGCCCACGTCTGTGGCCGGTGCTGTGCGGAGTTCTTTGAGTTGTCAGATCTTCTGCTCCACAAGAAGAGCTGTACTAAAAACCAATTAGTTTTAATCGTCAATGAGAGTCCTGCCTCCCCACCTGCAACCTTCTCTCCCAGCCCCACTCCCGATCATCCCGAAGAACAAATGAATGACACCATTAACAAAACAGATCAAGGAGAAGGCAGCGACCTTCCAGAATGCCACGTGCTTGACAGGGAGGAGTCCATGGAGGTGGAGGCCCCGGGGGCTAACAGAGGCAGCAGGGCCACCCCGAGCTGCAGCACCAGCTGCTCCACAGGTACCTCAACCATCACAACCTCTCTACCTCAACTTGGGGACCTGACGACGCTGGGCAACTTCTCCGTGATCAACAGCAACGTGATCATCGAGAACCTGCAGAGCACCAAGGTGGCGGTGGCCCAGTTCTCCCAGGAAGCGAGGTGCAGTGGGGCCCCCGGGGGCAAGCTGGCCGTCCCCGCCCTGATGGAGCAGCTCTTGGCCCTTCAGCAGCAGCAGATCCACCAGCTGCAGCTGATTGAGCAGATTCGCCACCAAATACTGCTGTTGGCCTCTCAGAACGCAGACTTGCCAACACCTTCTAGTCCTTCTCAAGGGACTTTGCGGACATCTGCCAACCCCTTGTCCACACTAAGCTCCCATTTGTCTCAGCAGCTGGCAGCAGCAGCTGGATTAGCACAGAGCCTCGCTAGCCAGTCTGCCAGCATCAGCGGTGTGAAACAGCTACCCCCAATCCAGCTACCTCAGAGCAGCTCTGGCAACGCCATCGTTCCATCCGACAGTGGCTCTTCTCCCAACATTAACATTTTGGCGGCAGCCATGACCACCCCGTCCTCGGAAAAAGTGGCTTCAAGCGCTGGTGCCTCCCATGCCAGCAACCCAGCAGTCTCAGCATCATCCTCACCAGCTTTTGCAATAAGCAGTTTATTAAGTCCTGCATCTAATCCACTTCTACCTCAGCCAGCCCCTGCTAACTCGGTTTTCCCCAGCCCTTTGCCCAACATCGGAACAACTGCAGAGGATTTAAATTCCTTGTCTGCCTTGGCCCAGCAAAGAAAAAGCAAGCCACCAAATGTCACCGCCTTTGAAGCAAAAGGCACTTCGGATGAGGCGTTCTTCAAACACAAGTGCAGGTTCTGTGCGAAGGTCTTTGGGAGTGACAGTGCCTTGCAGATCCACCTGCGCTCCCATACCGGAGAGAGGCCGTTCAAGTGCAACATCTGTGGAAACAGGTTCTCCACCAAGGGGAACCTCAAAGTCCACTTTCAGCGTCACAAAGAGAAATACCCTCATATCCAGATGAACCCCTATCCCGTGCCTGAGCACTTGGACAATATCCCCACTAGTACCGGCATCCCATATGGCATGTCCATTCCTCCAGAAAAGCCAGTTACCAGCTGGCTGGACACCAAACCAGTCCTGCCCACTCTGACCACTTCAGTGGGCCTGCCGTTGCCCCCCACCCTCCCGAGCCTCACACCCTTCATCAAGACAGAAGAGCCAGCCCCAATCCCTATCAGCCATTCTGCCACCAGCCCCCCAGGCTCAGTCAAAAGTGATTCTGGGATCCCTGAGCCAGCCACAAGAAGCCTGGGTGGGCTCCCAGAGGAAGCTGAAGGGTCCACTGTGCCACCCTCCAGTGGCAAAAATGAAGAGAGCAGCATGGTCACCACCTCGGCCCCAGCAGTGAGCAGTAGCACTCTGAGCTCCCCAGCGGCAGACTGTGGCCCGGGTAGTGCCACCACCTTCACCAACCCTTTGTTGCCACTCATGTCCGAGCAGTTCAAGGCAAAGTTTCCCTTTGGGGGACTTTTAGACTCAGCCCAGGCATCGGAGACGTCCAAGCTTCAGCAGCTGGTAGAAAACATTGACAAGAAGGCCACTGACCCCAACGAGTGCATCATCTGCCACCGGGTGCTCAGCTGCCAGAGCGCCTTGAAGATGCACTACCGGACACACACCGGGGAGAGGCCCTTCAAGTGCAAGATCTGTGGCCGTGCTTTTACCACGAAAGGGAACCTTAAGACCCATTACAGTGTCCATCGTGCTATGCCCCCCCTCAGAGTCCAGCATTCCTGCCCCATCTGCCAGAAGAAGTTCACGAATGCTGTCGTCCTACAGCAGCACATTCGAATGCATATGGGAGGCCAGATCCCCAATACCCCAGTCCCCGACAGCTACCCTGAGTCCATGGAGTCTGACACAGGCTCCTTTGATGAGAAAAATTTTGACGACCTGGACAACTTCTCTGATGAAAACATGGAAGACTGTCCTGAGGGCAGCGTCCCCCATACGCCCAAGTCCGCGGACGCATCCCAAGACAGCTTATCTTCTTCACCTTTGCCCCTCGAGATGTCAAGCATTGCTGCTTTGGAAAATCAGATGAAGATGATCAATGCCGGCCTGGCAGAGCAGCTGCAGGCTAGCCTGAAGTCGGTGGAGAACGGGTCAGTCGAGGGGGATGTCCTGACCAATGACTCATCCTCAGTGGGTGGTGACATGGAAAGCCAGAGTGCTGGCAGCCCGGCCATCTCAGAGTCTACCTCTTCCATGCAGGCTCTGTCCCCAGCCAACAGCACCCAGGAATTCCACAAGTCACCCAGCATGGAGGAGAAGCCACAGAGAGCAATACCGAGTGAGTTTGCCAATGGTTTGTCCCCCACCCCAGTGAATGGTGGGGCTTTGGATTTGACATCTAGTCATGCAGAGAAAATCATCAAAGAAGATTCTCTGGGGATCCTCTTCCCTTTCAGAGACCGGGGTAAATTTAAAAACACTGCTTGCGACATTTGTGGCAAAACATTTGCTTGTCAGAGTGCCTTGGACATTCACTATAGAAGTCATACCAAAGAGAGACCATTTATTTGCACAGTTTGCAATCGTGGCTTTTCCACAAAGGGTAATTTGAAGCAGCACATGTTGACACATCAGATGCGAGATCTACCATCACAGCTCTTTGAGCCCAGTTCCAACCTCGGCCCCAATCAGAACTCGGTGGTGATTCCCGCCAACTCGTTGTCATCTCTCATCAAAACAGAGGTCAACGGCTTTGTGCATGTCACTCCTCAGGACAGTAAGGACTCCTCCACCAGCCACGTCCCTTCTGGGCCTCTGTCATCTTCCACCACGTCCCCAGGTCTGCTCCCAGCTCTGCCCAGGAGAACTCCCAAACAGCACTACTGTAACACATGTGGCAAAACCTTCTCCTCATCAAGCGCCCTGCAGATTCACGAGAGAACTCACACTGGAGAGAAACCCTTTGCTTGCACTATCTGTGGGAGAGCTTTCACAACAAAAGGCAATCTGAAGGTACCTCTCTCCATCTGTCCCTCCCCCACCTCCCTATCAGCCCTCCTCTGGGTGCCACTGATGACTTGTAAGGCATGCTCCCAGAGTTCTCAGCCCAGCTAGTCAGGGAGAGTGCTCACAAGGGTACCTGCTGCAGGTGGTTGACTGGAGAAATAGGGGTACCTAGGAGGGTCAGAATTATGGCAAGGGCCAGGACAGGCTGCCGCTTGCTGGATGTCAGAGTGCATTGAATAATTTGGTACCTAAGCGAAGCAGCGGCCTATCTCTGTTGTCTCGCTAAGTGCACCAAATGAATTGCTTTACCTACCAAGTAAGACAGCCCGTCGTTGCCATGGGGTATTGATTGAAGACCTCCATGTGGCCTGTGTACTGCCCGTATCACTTAATAATTACAGTTCTCCTCTGCGTGTGCATCTATTTTTCATAACTATGCAGTCCAGCGTGGTTTGTTTTTCTAAAAACAGTAATGTCACTGCTCTGCTAATGGGTATTATGATAATTGATTATACAACATTTCCTACAGATATGTGTTGGAAATAAAGCAAATATGCTTAAGTTCTAAAGCAACAGTTGAGTGCTCTTACTGTGTACATTTTTCTGTTGACAGAGTATTTCTCTAGAGATTGCTGCCAGTAATGTGAGATGAATAATTACTTTCTGGCTTTTCTCTCCATGCACGGGCCCTCCAATGGGCAATCAGCAAGGGGTACTCTCTTCCCATCTAAAAAGGACATATATAGGGTAAAGAGTGTCAGATACAATACTTACATTGCAATGAGAGTGGACATAACAATTCAAACCCTGGAAGGAACTATCTGCAACTGACTGGCTTGCTTGAGGCCATTGTAAGCTAAATACGGGTAATAAAAAAAAAAGTAAGTAAAGCATCTTAGCCCAGGAAGAGGCCAGGCAGCCCAGGGCTACAGAGAGTGAACACCTTATTACCAGTCGACGGGACTGGATGGTTCCCGTTACCTTTCCACTGTCTGGCACATAATAAGAATAGACACTCAGGCCACTTGCTTTGTAGGGTGTTGGGATATGAGTTGAGACAGATTCAACTATTAAGCTTCTCCCTTCCTCTCTCTCCCATCATTCCCTTCCCCCCACCCCCATCTCTCTCTCTCTCTCTCTCTCTCTCTCGCTCTCTCTCTGTCTCTCTCTGTCTCTCTCTCTCTCTGTCTCTCTCTCTCTCCCCTAATCTCAGGTACACATGGGCACTCACATGTGGAATAGCACCCCAGCACGACGGGGCCGGCGGCTCTCTGTGGATGGCCCCATGACATTTCTAGGTGGCAATCCCATCAAGTTCCCAGAAATGTTCCAGAAGGATTTGGCGGCAAGGTCAGGAAGTGGGGATCCTTCCAGTTTCTGGAATCAGTATGCAGCAGCACTCTCCAATGGGCTGGCGATGAAGGCCAATGAGATCTCCGTCATTCAGAATGGTGGCATCCCTCCAATTCCTGGAAGCCTCGGCAGTGGGAGCAGCTCACCTATTAGTGGGCTGACGGGAAATCTGGAGAAGCTCCAGAACTCAGAGCCCAATGCTCCTCTGGCGGGCCTGGAGAAAATGGCCAGCAGCGAGAACGGAACTAACTTCCGTTTCACCCGCTTCGTGGAGGACAGCAAAGAGATTGTCACTAGTTAAAGCAGCTCTGGCTGGAGGAATGGCATTCCTGTTCAGAATGACACCCATGGTTGCCTCCTAGTCCTTGCCCCTTCCATCCCCCCACCTTCTGGTTCCCCCAGATCTCTGAACTACAACATTATGAAGACATTCTTTTGTACCTTGTTTAACTTCTAGAGTTATAAGAAAGCTTATTTATTAGTGATATAACCTTGCTTTGCAAACAATGCAAGCATTAACTTTGGTCTTCTGTATTTTGAACTAAATACTAATTGACTAGAGTGCTGTAAACTTGCTGTAACATTTATGGCAATTTCAAGTTGCCCTGCTAGGCGGTCTTAATCTGGCATTAACTTATTTTCTATTTCCAGTTTAATATGAATCTGGTGTTGATGCAATGCCTCAGTGATGCATTAGGTCCCTAATAAAGTCTGTATATAAATGTACACTTTGATCCTGCTGGAAAATTTTATCAGCAAATACATTGTCTAATCTTTTGAAACAAATATAAGGAAAGGACTGAAAGTACAGACTGAACAGTGGTTCTTTGAAAGGTTTGGGTTTTTTTAATTTTTATTCTAAATTTCAACCCTTTTTTTTTGTTTTTGTAGGTTTTAACCATTTCCGTTTTGAACTGTTATTTGTATTGTGCTTTTTACTTGTTGTACTCAATGTTAATAAGTTTCTGTACAGTAATAAGCACGCAGAATTCTTTAGAGAAAATACAAGTGTTGTTTTGGTAGTTGAAACTGAGACGTAACATTTTGCCTTGTAGGTATATTCACAGTAGAAAATGTGTGCTGGAATTTCACAATGCTGCTAAGTATAGCATCTTGAACAACCTTCAGTGGAGAAAATGTAGATGCTCTTGTGTATATACAATAAGAAATATCACTTTGATTAAAATGTACATATGTTCCTTACAAGAGCAAATGCTTCTTCTTGATCGAGAGAGCAGGTATAGTGGTTGTTTATTTTGTATTAGGTATGGAAGAAAAAATTGGACTGTTACATGCACTTTCTCGGAAAGTTGAAAGGAAACGGGGGGGGGGTCCAAGTTCTTTAACATTTAATACTTACTAACAACAGAGATACTGTAATTTTACTCAAGTAATCAAATACATTTTTTTTTGCAACAGATAACACAAAATACCGTGTCTGTGTTTTTAGAGTACATTTCTATTTAATCAGGCCCCAAAATGTATTTTAACATTTCCCCAGGCACCAGTAAATTATGTATGTGAGTGTGTCTGTCTTTCTCACTAAGTAAGGAATTGTAAAAGGCATAACAGAAACAGGTTTGCATGGGCCTGTGTTTTCTTTTAATTTGGACAATCTAGATGTTTTCCCAATATCTGTTATTTGGCCACTCTTCACACACCCACCACCACCACCACCACAAAGAAAAAATGAAATAAAAAGTTGTTATGAGAGGTTTCATCCGTACAGGTAAATTTCCTTAAAGCAGGACATTTGTGCCCATTTAGGCTTTATTTTAACTGCTCCTGTTTCACTCCTTTGACTCAGTGGTTTTGTCTCAGGCCGCAGAAAGCAGCATTGCTGAAGAATTGGCGGTGCAGCGGGGTTATATAATCTGACTCTGAAACTGGGCCCCGGCCCAGAGAGGTCAACATGTTCTTTATTTAATCAGTCTTTCAGGCATTTAAACACACATGCGTATTTGTAAGAAAAAGTCCATCACAAAGATTATGTAGAATTGACTTAAATATCTCTCATCAAAATCCAATCTGATTCTCCTCTCCCTTTTGTTCTAGGGGAAACAGGTTTTTCTCCTGAGCACTATTTTGGGGTGAGCAAACGCTCAGGGTGGAAGTTGGTGTCTGGAAGGGTAGGTGAAAATTTTCTTTCAGGGAGGCGGTGAACCGCCGGCAGCCCGTGGCCCTGCGCCCAGGGAGGGGAGAAGCGTCGGGGCTACCTTCCAGGAGAAGTTTCCACCCGGGCTCAGGCCAATCAGAGACCACTCGGGGTCAGAGAGACCACTCGGTGCGCGCTTGCCCAGGCTGGGTGGTCCGGGCGCCGAGGGGGCCCCCGCAGCGCCGGCTCAGCCCGGGGGCCCAGGGTCGGCGTTCCGGAAAGGGACAATGCGGGGCTGGGCGGGCGCGGCGGCACGAGACAGACGATCCTCCCGAGGTTTGGGCACGCGAACACTAACAGGACGCTATTTCTCCATTGCGCTCCCGATCCGTGCCACGCCGCCCCAAGAGAGACCCCTCTGCTCAGGAGTGGGGACGGAGAGAAGGCCGAACACTGGCCAGGAGTCGGTTCTGCGCGCTCCCAGGGGGCATGGTTTCGTGGGGCAGGAGGCGTCCATCCCCCTCCTACGGCCGGGCACAGCGAGGAGCGGAGGGGGGGGGGTGCCCCGGGCCTGCGCGCTGTTAGGAGCGGGGCGCCTCTGCGCGTACGGTCTCTGCGTCCCGGGACGCAGCCTGGGGACCGGCCGGGGGCTCAGAGCTGCCGGCCACCGAGGGGGGCTCCCTGCCACGCACACCGCCCCCGTGCCCCTGCGCCTCGCGCGCCTCTCCAAGGGGGTGAGTGGGCTGAGCCCCGATGCCCTTCCGAGCGCCCGCCGGCAACTGGCCCCGCTTCCCGCTCTCCTCCGAGCGCCGCCGCGCGGTCCCCGCCCCCGCTCGGGTCCCGGGGCTCCCACACGCCTGCCCGCGGGGTCATGGCCCCGGCCATCCCAGGCTGCACCTCCGTTTCCTCGAGGCGGCGGTCCCGGGCGGGGAACCTGCCGATTTCTTCTGTTCCCTCTCACCACCAAGCTCCTGGACCCTTCTGGCGCGTTCTGAAAGTGAGTTCAGGGGAGCAAAGGCAGCTTTTCGTTTGGGCAGACTTTCCGAGGCGACCGAGGTCCTTAGGAAGAGGTCGGCGCCTGGGGGTCTGGGGGTCTCTCCCTCCACCCCCTCCCGCTGTCCCTCCTTATCCGTCTGTCGATCGACTTTCCAATCTATTGATCGTTACCTGCCCAAGCCCCTTTCCGTTCATTCTGAAACAAGAGATCGTCCTGAGCCCCGCTTCGCCTCCCTGTGTGATAAATACCCTCAGCCTGCCGGCTCAGCCCAACAGAGGAGAAATGGATTTATATTTATAAAGCGACCGGGTTTATTTTGAAGCCGAATATGTGAACGCACCACCTCTGCCCTCTCCCGCGCAGCTTCGCCCTGCTTTCTATCCTTTCCTCTCGCCTATGAAGCTTGAGGTGCGTCGAGGTAGTTTTAGAATCAATGGGAACGGAATTTCCTTGGGCTGTCGCTGCCTGGAATGATGATAGCTAAATTCACTACAGTTTGAACTAAAAATACTCATCTTGGTGTCATTTTCCTACCATTTCCGTCTTTAAAAATGTGAAGAGCTGTTACAAAGAAAATACAGAAAAATACAGCAAATAATGTCACAAGTCCCCTTGTGCCCATCACCCAAAATTTACAAATGTGAGCAACTTGAGGTTTTTCCATCTCTTTTTTTTTTTAAGTAACTATGTGCTTATTTTTTTCTCTTCTGTCTCACTGTGTCATTCTCATTCTCTAGCCTTTTCCTCTTGTCCCTTCTCTCCCTATGTCTTTTTTTTTTTTTGTATTCCTTTGTGTTTTTTCCTTCCATCTCTGCCGGCTTCCTTCTTTCTGGAAAATATACTTGGAAGAGCAATTTGGTGATTGACAAGCACCTGGGGATGGAAGAAGAGAGGCCAATGACTAAGCAAGCCACCGTAGACCCTCCCTCCCCCCAGTAGCTATGAGGGAGGTGGGGGGTAGAGTAGGGAAGGGACAGGTTCTAGCAAACCAGGTGGAGATACCTGAAACTAACTCCTCATAGGCCAAGTTTATTCACCTGACGTTTCTAGGACTGGGGGACAATGTCTTTTCTAATTAGGAAAAAAAGTATCCCTACAGAATATTCAAGATGATTTGCAGTTGACATAAATTTCTAGCAGATTATTTGCTTATTGTTTTTGGTGTTTGTGAACATCAAGAATGAGAGAACCTCTGGAGAAAAGAAGAGGGGGGATAAAGAAGGAAAAGAAAAGGATGAAAAGAAAAGAAAAAAGCTTCCACTCTGTTAAAATTTCGCAGTCCTGTTAGAAAAATAAAACATTGGAGTCTTTACTAGGAGTTACACACTCCACCCCAAATGAAACAAATGTCAGAGGGGGTAACAAAGTGGGAAAAAATGTAAAGTGAATTTCAAAGGGTTCCACAAAGCACAATCTGAGATTCACAGAAAGTGGAGACGGATAAGACAGGAATTAGGTCATCTCGTCCAGACCCCAGGAAATATGTTTAGATCAAAGACAGCTCCGTTAGAATAAACAAAACTGGGCCCACTGGGCCCTACCAATATTTTCATCTCCATGCTAAGAGCTGCTAATCTAACAGCTCTTTATTCGATGAAAGGGGGTAAAAATTACAACTGTAAAAATGACTAAGTAAAAAAATGTCCTCTCAACTATAATAGGAAGATAAAAATTTAGATTTGAGCTAAAAGTAACAAGATCAAGGCCCAGATCAACACAAACTTCCTGGAATTTTAGCACTAAGTAAATTATCTAATCCCAGGCCATTGTTCCCTCCCTGTGCCCCCTCCCAACCCATGCAATTGAGTATACCAGATGATTTACATAAAAAAATTGTTAAATTTTAACTGCAGCCTTAAAACTTTGCAGGAGACAGACTTTTGGGTTCACTTACTGCACATTCCTTAAGGACCTTCCCCCACCAGCCCCACTGTCACCAGCCCCCAGGCAGTTGTTAGGGTAGTGCTGGCCTTTATTGTCATGGATGGTTCTTTAAACCCAGGCTTCACATTTGGTCTCTCTTTCCATTAAGGGCGGATAGACACAGGCTGGAGCTTGTGTCATGTAAGCCTGACTTTGGGTCCACACCATTCAGCAACCGCTGATATTTTAACAGCTAAGCCCAAGTACTACGTAAGGCTTTCTTTCAGCACAGAGTTGATGTGACGGCCTTAAACCAACTGCCAGGGAATATTTGATAGATAGAAACATCCAGAAAAGGGACAGGAAATCCCAGAGAAGGAAAATTCACCGAGGCTAAATCCAGAGTTATAGTTCCTTGCTAAGGCTGGTTTCCTCTTAACTTTAAACATATGATTTGGTTCCTTATGTTTCTACATCCATCTGAACTCAAATTTAAAAAAGACTCAGGGACTGCCTGTCAGCTTGACTCCAGCCCTCTCTCTAAAGCCAGGGCAACAGGGATGGGGGACATGAGGGCCTTTAAAAACACCAACAGGAATAGGCCATCTTCTGTTTGGGGTCCTTGTCTGTTTACCTGGCAGAGGGCAATTACAGGATCGGCTGTTGACTTACATTCCATGGAGGGCTTGAAGACAAGTGGCACTCTGTTGGGGACACACAAGTGGATCTTTCCTTGTTGGACCCAGGTGGACCTCATCCAGCTTGCTAGGTGTAGCTGAATCTTGACACAGCAACATCTATTAGGACATGGATGCAGAGAGGCCAGGGGTCACATCATCTTGTAATCACAGTTGCATCTCGTATGAACTCAGTCATCTGTAATTATGTGCATGTCATGTGTAACACATGGCAGGCCCCATTCCTGATGTAAGGGACAGAAGGGGAACACTCAGCCAGCAGAGTTGCTTCAATATTCAGAATTTGGGGTGCTTCCACATGTCTCCACTCAAAACGATCCTATGAGACAGACAGGGCCACTGTCATTTACCAGATAACAAGACTGAGGCCCAGGATCAGAGGACCACATGCATACCAAAATAATTTCACATTATCAGAGTGCTACCTACACTGTTACTTATTTGATAATTTCATTTAAGTTAGTCCCTTCTTAAAAGTTAAGTATATTTACTTTAGAAGGAATAGGAAACACAGGATTCAATTCTCTCCCATAGTCTTTTCTGTCCTGTGCAGGAGAAATCCGTACATCTCACATCTATTCAGTGATGTGCACTAAATCAAAATACAACATGTCCTGCTGCTTCAGTGAGCCTTTCTTAGTTTTCTTCTAACCACTGTGTCTCGATTTAGACAAGTGTGAGGTCTTTGGGTCTGAAAGAGTTTAATGTCCTGATCCCCATCTCCCACTTTTACTTGTCAACACACCTTGGCACTGGTCAGGGATTTTTCAGTGTGTGGGTTGGGACCCATTAGTGCATCAGGAAACCAGTCTAGTAGGTCATCACCAGCATTGCTTTTCAAGTGGAATAGAATAGAAAATATCAGTCTGCTGCACTGTGCTCTAAGTATAAGGAACGTCTTATGAAGTTCTGGCTTGGTTGTGTGTGCGTGTGCATGCACCTGTGTGCGCTAGGCCACAGTAATAAATATACTTGTTAGTGTGGGTCGCCATCGAAAAAGTTTGAAAGCCAATGACAAAGGCTCTGAAAAATATGATTCTCCCCTCTATTTCACAGCTGAAATCGCAGAACCAGGGGCTCTAAAGAAGGGGCTGCCTGTCTGGCTTGGGGGTGGAAAGAGCTGGGCTGAAGGCCCAGGTACATAACACAGCTCCCCAGGTCTCTTTGCAAGCACTCATCTATTATGCAGTTTCTAGCTGCCGCTTTGGCAAAGACAAGAGAGACTAGAGGGGCTATTGGTGCTGGCTTCTAGCTCTCCTCTCCAGGGTGCTTCCTCGTGGAGGGTTTTAACAGCATTTTGCCACAGAGGGGATTTCTCCTTAAAGGCACACATAAGTGCAAAACAAAAACAGCGATCGCTGAAGCTTAATTACAGCAACAAGCTGTGCTGTCCCTTTAAGATCCCTCCTCCACTGGTAGCTGGGCCCCAGCTCTTGGGTAACTAAGATAACATCCCTCCCAAATCCTGCCATTTCTAAGCATCCTTAGTCGCTATGCTAACTCTGGGCTTGCCGCAGCCTAAGAGTATGTAGTCCTGAGTGATCATTGCTAGAAGGGTCCTTTAAGAAACACTGCAAGTAGGGTGGTGGTCTGAGGACTTTATCAAAGATCAGTTTCTAACACATGCAAACACACAGACACACATGCACACACACACATTTACCTAAATCTCCAGAGCTGGGAGAAGTCAGGAAATAACTCCTTTGGATGCAAAGAAGTTTGTCTGAGAGCTGGGCCAGAATTATTTATATTTTCCTTCTCAGTCACAGGCCAATACTTCTTGTGTAAATTACAATAAAGGGGTTACTATAGTAGTTCACATTATTGGCATGTGTTCTCTAGCTTTCTTTTATCCATAGCATTTGACATGTAACTTGCAGTGCCCTCCCCTGGGAGCAGGGTGTGCTTCCCTGCATCTTTGGGCTTGACCATGGCCACGGGGCTTACTTCTGCCAGCAGAATAAGGCAGAAGCACTGGTACGTCAGTTCCACTCCTGGGCCTCAAGGGGCCCGCAAGTTTCTGCTTATGCCCCTATGCCTCTCTCATTACCATGGGAAAGGCATGCCTACTAGTCTCAGGAAAAGAATAAGTCAAGTCTAAGCCAGCCTCAGGCCCCTGAGTGAGCCTAACTGAGCAGAGCCTCCCCACAGATCTATGGGAATTCATGGGTATTGTTCTACACCATTGAGCTTATAGGTGGTTTCTTACTAAGCGTCACTGGGGCCACGATTAACTGTCTCAGTAAGATGTATCTAGACATTGTTCCAGATCCTTTCCTTGATTCAACACATTTAATCCCTGTAACAACCATATGAAGTGGGTACTATCATGGCACCCCTTTTACGGAAAAGAAAACTAAGGCACAGAGAGGTTCAGTGACATGTTAAGGGCATGCATTGGCAAGCAGAATTTAAACCTAGACAACTCAGCTCTTAACC